GGAGGGGTTTGTGCGGGGAGAAGGGTGCAACAATGAATGAATGGAATCCCAAAATCTCTGTAGATGTTCATTGAAATGAAAAATAAACAACCTGATAAATAAAAGTTCGAGTTCTAAACTTAAAAAAAAAAAGGAAAAATAAACAACCTAAATTAAAAAAAAATAAAATATGTGTTTCTAAGCAGAGTCGTCAATTTAAAAGTGTGTGGCAACGTGTTAAAAGCCGATGGAAGGCGTATACAGAGTCAATGAACCAAAAAGAATTGGCTGACACAGAAGAATTTCAAGAAACAACGTATGAGCATGAGGCAACAGTGATGAAGCAGGAAGTACAGGCTTCTCTGAAGGACTTGACAAAAAAATAAAGCCTCAGGAATTGATGGAATACCAAATGACATATTTCAGCAAACAGATGCTGCCCTGCATGTGCTCACCAAGTTGTGCCAAGAACTTCGGAGGACAACTATTGGCCAACTGACCGGAAGAAATCCATATTCATTCCCATTCCAAAAAAAGGTGACCCGACAGAGTGTGGAAATTATTGAATAATACCACTAATATCACACACTAGCAAAATCTTGCTGAAGATTATTTAGAAAAGACTTGAACAGTACATTGACAGAGAACTACCAGAAATTCAGGCCAGGTTTAGAAGAGGTCGTGGCACTAGGGACACTGTTGTCAATGTCAGATGGATACTGACAGAGAGCTCAGAGTACCAGAAGAATGTCTATCTGTATTTCATTGACTATGCAAAGGTATTTGACTGTGTGGATCATAATAAACTGTGGCTAACCTTGAGGAAAAGGGGAATCTCAGAACACTTGATCGTGCTTATAAGAAACCTATACTTGGACCAAGCAGCAGCCCTTAAGAACAGAGCAAGGAAAACACTGCATGGTTCAAAATCAAGAAAGGAGTACATCAGGGATGCATCCTGTCCCCTTACCTTTTCAATCTGTATGCAGAACAGATCATTCAGGAAGCAGGACTTTATGAGGAGGAGTGTGGCACCAGGATTGGAGGAAGACTCATTAACAACCTACAATATTCAGATGACACACCTTGCTGGCTGAAACTGAGAAGGACCTGAAGCACTTGCTGCAAAAGGTCAAGGACTGTAGTCTTTGCTATGACTGAAGCTCAACA